TTTTATTGCTTAATGTTAAATGAAATGTTGTCATTCATTTCGTGTATTGATTTCATTCGAATGTTTATTCATTGTAAACAAAACAATATTTAAATATGTAATGTGTTTGTAAACTTATTTATTATGTAATAGAAATAATATCTATCATATGAAATATATTTTACACTTAGTTTTGTTCGTAAAACTAACTTTCCATTAGAAATAATAGATAACATATGACATAATGAATTATATATGACAAAATTATCATTGATTACCATACTCGCAGTTTAAATTGATTTTCATTATTATTTATAATTAATGCATATTATTTATGTTCATTAAATAATATATTCATTTTTATGCAAGAAGATTTATAAAATTATTTAATAATACATTCTGCAATGTGCAGTACAGTAACATATAATGATTTAACAAATAAATCAACTAAGGCATTTCATTAAATGCTATTTAATTCAAAACTTTATTTAATCATCAAGCAAAATATATAGTCAACTTCAAATATTAATCATTTTACCATTCAAATGTAACAATGTACATTAGTTAGTGAGGAGTGGGCTGAATATAAAGTAGGAATGGTATCTGGAATTAATACTACAGATCTGATTGCATGTATTTCCGTAAATCCTGGCGTTGTTGTAGGGGATGGACACTGATTTCAATCCCTGTCCACTGCAACCCAACTGGTCGTCCGCCACGTAAGCATTGACTGAGAAGTAGGTGTCACCAGCACAGGGACCTGAAGTTATTTGTACAAAATGAGCCTCGTACATACTACCTTCATTTACAAAAATGATTATTAATTAAATATAATAAGCGTGATTATATAGCTAATTGTATATTTTAAAATTAATAACAAAAAAATTTAAGAATTAATAACATTGCTAATTTTTATTGTAATTTTGAAAAGTTACTATTATACTTTCAAATATTACTTACCATTGAGGTATGTATAGTACTGAGAGAAGTTGCCAAAAACCATGTCCTGTTGTCCATTAGCGAGCACATGGTTTGTCCAATGGTGAGACCCACGGGTTATAGCCGTTGCAAGTGGTGTCGTATTCAAAGGTGGGGTTCTCTTGGATCTCCTGTACGGGCCCACCGGTGCACACGACCCGCTTATATATGGTCTGATTGGTGGCCCGGAAGGGCGTGATTGCTAAACATATCAGAAATATTTTAAATTTTAAATTATTAAACAGTTATCATAAATTTCAAACGTATCATGGTAGATCATTTATATAATTATATTGTATGAGAAATCTAATTTTAGCAAGAGTAAATATAATTAATTATATACTTGTACGCACAAAACTTTTATTGTGTAACATTGCAGTTAATCATTGTGCTAATAAAAATAGAAAGCAGATTTCAAAAATACTATATATACGTAAGATTTTACAGTGAACAAATAATTTCTAATCAAATTAAATTTTTTATTTTAAAAATATTAGAAGATTAAAATTATGAATCAAGTAACTTGTATCGTGGTCATTGTTTGCGCAGGTATTTATTTGTTTTCTATATAATAAATATATTTATATAATTAAAAATCTATCATTTTTTTAAATAGTTGCGAGTGGGGACTAAATCTGAACCCATGTTTTTGGGACCAGTGGGTGACTGTTTGGGACACAAACCTAGCTTTGGTGGCACTGTCAATCAGCCAGGCATATGGCCTGGTAAGTATTTAAATATAATAACACAAACTTATTTTTGTTAGATAGTAGTTAAAATGAAATCTTATATTTAAAATAATTAAATAGTGACACAAAGTAACGGACACTTCACGGATGCCAACGCCCAACGATTCCCGAACAGTGACCCCGGAAAACGAATCGGTAAAATTAGTCTACCATGATACTTTTGAAATCTTTGATAAATCTTCAATAATTTAAAGCATTTTAAAATTTCTGATATGCATAGCAATAACGCCCTTCAGGGCCACCAATCAGACCATATATAAGCGGGTCGTGTGCACCGGTGGGCCCGTACCGGAGATCCACGTGAACGCCACCTTTGAATACGACACCACTTGCAACGGCTATAATGCGTGGGTCTCACCATTGGACATACCATGTGCTCGCTAATGGACAATAACAGGACATGGTGTTTGGCATCTTCTCGCAGTACTACACATACCTCAATGGTAAGTACAGTAATTATTTGAAAAATCGTAAATATTAAAATTATTATTTTTATATTTAAATATATAGTAGCTAGTTAAAACATATTAATTGCATAATAATAAAGTAAATTAATTAGATTTTAAAAATACTAGGGGTAAAACTTAATTATAAAGGTAAGTAAGTAAGGTGTATTTTAGTTATTTACTCATTGTAAAATAAAACTAAAATTTCTACTTATTGATTAGGAGCTCGTTTTAAGACTACAAAGTATAGCTGTCAATTTTTTAAAGTCCACCAAATTAATTTATTTTAAAACTTATTTTATGGACCACTGATTTATTAAGTACATTTGTTAATAAAATTGGAAATCTAAATTATTTCTTAATACACCAAGCTTATCTATAGTTCGTAGAATTCACAATAGTAGAAAGCGTATACAGAAAATGTCAGAACAATTGGTAGTGTAAACAAGTAAAAGATCTGTAGTGTTTAGATGGAAATCTAGAATAAGTATGATTTGTATGCTACATTTCGCGCCCTTTACAATTGTTTAGCTTCAACCTTTATAGACGGGGGATGGGGATAGGCTTTAAGTATTGATTACTGGAATCCAATAGTAGCAAAGACCGCACTAGTTAGATCACCTGTGATTGGGTACAGCTCAACATCGCCTGATGTTCGCTTATCGGATTGGATTAGTTATCGGCAGCTCTGAGCTGTATGCTTATTGATCCAAGGGATCACGCATTCTGTGCTGAGATACTACCTTGAATGTCGTTAACTGTATCTACTCCTGGTGTGGTGATTGTTAGTCTAGCAGAGTTCATTCAACTCAATGTTTAGAAATAGTGCTGTATGGCATATTTACAACTAGGGGTAAACAAGTGGCATATGGGGTGGCCAGGGAGGTAGTTCATTGAACCCGAGAAATAATACAATGCGTCTATTTTAGGAATTCTGTTCTACTTAAAGAACGACAGTAATGATGGTGCTATGCAAGAGAGGGGTAACAATCTAAATTATTTCTTAATACACCAAGCTTATCTATAGTTCGTAGAATTCACAATAGTAGAAAGCGTATACAGAAAATGTCAGAACAATTGGTAGTGTAAACAAGTAAAAGATCTGTAGTGTTTAG